ATGTAGGTACAAAGAATGGGACCGCATGGTGCTTGATTTCATTTATGACAATAGATCATTACTAGAAAAAAAAGACTGTTTAACACTGTTAGAATATCTTACTTTTATTCTTATGCAATCAACAGAGGAAGATTTGAAAGAATTCAGTTACACTTTAGTTATAAGAATATTATCGTGTCAAAGTGTAACAAATATTTACGAGGTTATAACGATGTATTTAACGAAATATGATGGTAAAAGTTATTTGGGTTGTCCGCACACAGATGAAGCATTTCACGAGTTTATTATGCGAAACACAAATTTACAAACTTCCACAAATTTAAAAACGGTTTTACTGTTTCTTTTAAAAAATCCTAAAATGGTACTAATAGTACTTTTGAAAATTACTATTGGTCATTCTCATTATAGAAATATCATGATTTCTCCTAATGATTTACTTTTATTATCACCATTTATGCAAATAAGAGAAGGCAATAATCAAATATTATTAACAAGTGTGCTAAGAATTATTTGCATAGAAAATACAGAATGGAATGCTAAGAAATTCATGGACCTCGTGAATATCATGTTAGACAATTCTGTAATTAAAGTACATGACTTGATAAATAACGTTTATATACCATATTTAAGGCAAGATACCTTTAATGCATCAAACATAAGTTCTGTTCTTAATAGTATTCGCAAACTGCAGGTGAAATGTACCAAAGATACGAATATTAAAGAGTTGATAATAGTTCTTTCAAGAAGAATGTCATTCCTTCGAAAAAATACAAGCATCTCCAAATATGTAAGCAATGAAATATTTATTCAGATAACAAGAATATTGCCATATTTTTTGGAAAACAAAATTTTTCCTGTTAAAATAAGAAAAGACATTATTGATGGGATTGATTCTGTCATTGAACCAATAGACAAGTTACATTTCAGTTCCATTTGGTATTTTATACAAAAAGGCGTCAGTGTAATTTATATAATCGAAGATTATCAAAGACGTTGTTTTTTTGTATTGAACAGATTAAAAGAAGATCCAAAAACTTCAGAAAAATTGCGACATTATTTGTCTAATTTAAGTTTATTAAGAGAAGATTTTCTGCGCCATTTGATCATTCGTTCGACCGAAGAAGAATATCAGAGAATATGTTCTGAGCTTACTATAATTTATTGGATCGTTTTTGGATGGAATGACGAAATGGATGCATTCGATCATATTCTACGTGTGACGATAGAGGCGTGTTGTTTATCTCTAGAATATCCATCTATCGGTGGATGCGATTTATTCACATTTTTACTTAAATCTCTCACGCGTTTCTGTAGAACTTTTATATCGCTTGAAGAAATGAAAAATTATGAGCAAGTATATCAAGCATTAATTAAAAATATCAACCAACTCGATGGAAGCATAAGACATAGTCCTTATGCGGATCTATTCACTACCTGTATTACGCATTTAAATGATCAGACAGAAAATGATTCTGCAAATTTTCTGCAAGATGTTTTAAACACTTTAGATCATTTCAGTGATCAGTGCTTTGAATATAATAAGTGCAATAAATATAGTGAAGCAACATATAAAATACCTCATTCTCTGAAAGTTTCAAATTGTTATATGACTTACGAAATAATTTCTGCTTGTCTGAAAGTACCTGCAACAGAAGCTTATGAATGTATTAGGAGAATGAACGATCTATTTGTCCCGAAATAAATAAAAGTGGGAATGGATTATGAATATTGATTCTTTGTTGAATTTGAACTACTTATATTTTAAGTTTACATTTATGTAATCTATTTCATTTTTTTTACTATTAATAGATCTAAGTTGGCCTTTATCGATACCATCCTGAAACTTCACAAAATGCTAAAGCAGAAATTTAATATACTTCATGATATGCCACAATAGTTGCATTAGGTAAAATATATTGTATTTATAATATTAATATTAATACACAGGCTGTGGCAATAACTCTGATCATCTTGAGTATTTCCGCTATTTTTAGAGATATGGAAAAATTTTGATTACTAAAGTTGCATAGTGTGAAGGGGGTCATAATATAGCAGTAATAATCTTTTTGTAGGTGAAGCATTTTCAAAGATTTCAAGGTCACGTCCGTTCTTTTAAATTACTTTTTTATGCTTGGTAAAATATAGAATGTTTAGACGATCTCAACAACCCTTAATACAAGGTCGTTTAACAATAAATAAAAGACACAAATCAAGGCAGCAACAAATATTACGTCATGATGAAGTGGTGCAAATGTTGAAATCATCGAATTGCCGAAGCCTGTTCACTTATCATTTTCAAATTGATTGAGTCTTTGTTTCATGCTTAATAGCATTGTTAGCTTTTTTCGGTACACAGTATTTTTTGATATTTCCCACAGAAATCGAATGGTGTTTTTAATCACTAATAAATATCAGGAAGATAAGCTAGCCACGAAACTGACCCATCACGTCCTATCCATCGATTGAGGAAGATTCTATCAAGTAGTTTTTACCGTGCATAATGCATGAGACAGTAGCGTTATTGGTTACAAATGTAAATATGTCCAACGACTAATACAGGGAGAATATTACAAGATATGAAACGAAGACTCATTGCAGTATGTGCTACAATCAATCCGGAAATGATAACAAGTACACGGGCTTTGACAATTCGACGATTTCAAAGCTGCATCGATTTAAATGGACACCACTTCGAACATTTATTATGACGTAAGGTTTGTTCCTTACTGTTTTATTTCTTGTTGAATGACATTGAATTAGGAGTCGTCGAAATCATTCTCTACTCTACCAGTCACACCAAAGTATGGCACGGAATTTTAAAAAAACGGAAGTAAACCTCAGATATTTTTAAGTGATCAGAGATATTGCCGCACCCTATATTTGTAAATATGTATATAAATATATATACTTACCACTAATTCGTTACACAATTTGTTCTCTTCTTGTTTGAGCCTACAGATTTTAGTTTTTGTGCGATTTTTATCGAATTATAAAGTATTTAAAAAATTATTTCCATAATAAACGATAAAACAACTAACGCAAACGGATATTAAATATTTTCACGATCAATAAATTTCTAATTCGATTATTCTATTGCTGAATCACTTATGTAAAAGAATTTATTAAAAATTTTACAAGTTTAAAAATTATAGGGATTTTTTATATGTATTTTCAATCCTTGTAACGAAAATTTTTTTTACATCTTATTAAAATTTCCAACTTTTTATCTTTACGTCCTAAAGGAGTTTTTTATAATCAGTACTAAAGTAGTTGCTTGTTTTTATTCTATATTATATTTGTGCGATATTTCCAAAATGCCAGTACAATGGTTAGTAATAAAAAAATGTGAAAAAATTGCATACAAAGAAAAAATGTGCACCAGTATTGAGACAGGCAAAAATCAAGTGGGTAGCTTCCTCTGGATAGTCTCAATGCTTTCATGGAAAAAAATTTGGTCTGCAATATGAGACAAAATTGCTGTATCAGCCTATCGTCTTTGAAATTAAATTACGATTTCTATCTTTAATCCACAAATATTAGATCCATGCTACATTATTTAGACTATATCAGAAAATTAATATTTAAAATAATTTCAATATAAAGAATCGATTTTTCATTAATTAGACAATAGGGTAGTACAGTCCTGCCTTTCATAATAAAACCATTATTTTCTCCAAGTTAAGAACCATACATTTTTTCCATGTCATTGAGTTACAAGATTTCTATAGTGACTAGATTCTTATGTTGGTAATATAAATGGAATACAATACAACGTTTGATAATTGAAAGTAGATTTTTGACAAATGAAAACGAAATCAAGAATGAGAATATTTTGTCACAAAAAAAGATACTCGTTTATTTTCATTCGCATTTTTAAAAAGGGAAATATACGAGTGATACGTACTCTTATGTTCTACTTCTTTTTTTTCTCTCTCGCCACTGGTAAAAAATAACGCATGTTTTCGTTTCGCCTATTTCTCCCGCCTCTTTTATCGACGCGATTAACAAACATCTCAGGTGGAGAAAGAAAAAAAAGAATTCGAAATACCAGCGAGCAATTTTTGCGGATGGTGTCGTTTACAATCGAGTGGTCTCGAGTATCTGTTTCTTGTCTACCCAAGTGATATTATCGCTCGAACAGTATAGTTAATCCGATCAAAGAACAACGAACCAAAGAAAGACGGGCTAAAACAACAAAGAACATAACTATATCTCGCGAAGGTTGTTTGTCAATGAAATGCACATTTTTTTACTGTAAGCCATTCTCATTGTTGTCTTTTCGAATGTCAGATCAGTATTCCTTCAAAATTTTTTTTCCTTCATTAATATTAATATTATTATTAATTATTATTAATATTATTATTATATATAATTCGACGCTATAATATTTACAGATTCTTCACATTGTAAAAAATATAACGTATTTCGTACTCAATATCATACGCAGGTAGTACTGAAAGGCCGATATACATCTAAATCGTGGTGTTTCTCGAATTAATGTGACCCAGTTGCGTAACAAATCTGCATGTATACATATATATTGTATGTATATATATATATTTATATATTTATATTTATATCATTTATTTATTCATTCATTTATTTATATCTAATTATAAAATCGTATGCGAATCGTTTTTTTTTATAGGTGGTGAATTCTTGTGCTTTCTCTTTTCCTAATCTTTTTCCTTCTTTCACTTTTGTTATAAAAGAAATAAAAAAAAAAGAAACGATAGATAATACTAAAAAATATTTGCTGGCTGAGAAACAAGGGAACGAAACGTACCTGGTCCTTGACACTTGATATGCTCACTCAGGCGAAGCTCGATTTTTTTTCTTTTTCTATTTCTTTTTTTTTCTAGTATTTTCTTAATGCTCGATAGCTTTCCAAGTAAGAGGACAGTTTTTTTTTATCATTATTATTAGTAGTAGTACTTTATCATCTTTTTTTTGCATTTTTCGTTTTTTTGGGTTTCTCTTCATTTTTTTTTCTCTCTCTCTCTCTCTCTCTCGTGTACAAAAGTTTTCAGTGCATTCTTTAGAAAAATATTCTTAAAACGCGATCCCACGCCGGAGAAACGTGTGCGTGTACGTTCAGAAGCGATACAAATATAGAAACTTCTTTTTTCCTTTATTTCCGTTTTTTTTTTTTCGTGCATTTAGTGTGTATATAATGTACTTAGAAAGCTATCCCGCGGGCAGTCAATGAGCGTCCTTTACTTTTCCCCCACCCCTGTGTCCAACCCCTCACTCTACCAGTTTTCTTTCCTTTTTTCGTTCTTTCTTTTTTTATTATTCTCTTTGCCAATCTATGGTTTTCGCGAAGCACAAAAAACCCAGGAGGGCGAAAAAACGTAACGATAATAGAGCGAGAGCGATTACACGTTTCACAAAGAGGCCCTTTGATTCGCCGTTGAAAGGCTTCTATACGCGGTTATTATCGTCGCCTTTTAATAGAAAAACTGCGGTTATAATCTACGGGATCACAGCGAGACTATGAATTTTCCGAGTGATAAAATAGAGGATACGAATAATTATATCTGTGTTGCCACCTCCTGTTCCCCCCTCCCACTCACTTTTCCCCCTTTTTTCTTCTTTGTCTGTGTTTATATTATTTGAGTACAATAACGAAATATATTAAATGGCCGATTCGCTACGTCGGTATACGCTTCACCAATCTTAAACTGACGAAACGTATTAGCACCCTTCATTAGACGAATACGCGAGGCTACTTCGGATTCTCCCTCTATATACTCTACTGTATATTCGAGTACTTCGTTCCCCTAATGCATATACATATACATATACATATACATATGTGATGTATAATGGTTTCTAAAGTATCAAATTATAAATACTAATATTTTGGAATGAGACTAAAATGTAAAAAATAACAAATAATCGTTTAAACTTATAATATATAATTATCTAACGTGAAACGTATAATTAAACTTATTATGAGAAATTAAAAAAAAAAACAGAAATTTCCGAACCATGTATAATAGTTATTAACGCACAAAGTTAAATGCTTTGCGATGTTAGAAAGAAGAACATCCAGCCCCGCATATTCGCTACGAAATGACATTTCTAAAAGTGCACCGACAATTGGAGAGAACGAATTAAGTGTACGATCGATAACTCTTCCCAAGAATTCTATATCGTTGGACTCATTTCTTTTTTGTCCTTTCTAACTACCAATGATAGAAATACTGTACATCAGTTCGTTTGAAACTTTTCAGTTCGATATCGCGGCCCTTCGACACATTCGAATACGGGAAGCGCTGTCGGTCGTGTACAATTCAACATTCGTAATCGATCGGAAAGACAGTTAATTGAGACGAACAAGTAGATATTATACAAACTATAAATTCACATTTTCTTTTGTTTTTATAAAATCAGGATATTAATATCCTCCCATTAAAATTTGTAAAAAAGAAAAAAAGAGAAGATAATCAAATTGAACAACCCTCATTTTTTTTTTACTAAGGTACGTTATGCAGTGATCACACGGAAATTAATGACTTCGATGGTGGCATTAAATAATAATGTATCGAGCTAATGTAATGACTGTTATGGTATAAAAGCGGTATTTAACATCGGATAATATGATTTTTTTTTTGATCACACGAGAAAAATTACACACGACCTACTACTACTTATAAGGGAGTCCATTGCTTCTTTTTTTTTTCTTTTTTGTTACATCTATCTGTTTACATTCACAAACTCAATGATAATCAGTTTCGAAAGGAGATTTTTTGTTCGTACAAAGCAATGGATATATTGATTATTATGAGTACCACATACGTATTTTGCAGTTGAAGGGATCAATGTACCAGCAAGCCTTCGTGAAAAAACATTTCAAAGTCTCACCTCTCTCCTCTTGCTGGTTTCTTTTGTTTCAAATTGGCCATAAAACTTTTTGGAATTGTATAAAGATCTTGTATTTTTGTTTCTATCGTACACACTTTACCATGTAAATCCTATAATTATGTTTACGATTGATGTTATGCACTACTGTCCTTCTGTAATATTACTGCAATTTTCTTTCCTCTTCTTTTCTTTTGTTCCTTTTCATTTCGTGCTTTGATCGATTAAAGCACTGGGTGTTACGCTTTCAGTTTTTATTCTGATCAAGGTAATTCTTATTGAAATAAGAATACACACAATATCTGGTATACTATGAAATCTTTTTGATATTTGTATTTTGGTCTTAAATATAAAATTCTATTCATTAGTGACCATTCTCAATACTCCATCATGTTCACCTCAATAAAATGTATTTCTAATATTGGAACTGTACAATCAATACCAGTACCATTAACGACACACCATTCAAGCCATCTATATAATGTACTGCAGCCTCTGACATTGAGCATAGGTAACATATCATTAATGGAAATCATTGCACAATGTATCTAAAACAACCTATCTTCTTTCCAATTCTTGACTGTACATTGTAAACAACATTTATTCTAATGTTTCCAATTCTTTTTAATATTTCAAATGGCTGACCATCACAGTGATTCCTTCAATATCTGCAAATAGTTTGAATGCTTTGTTAATCTAACCTGCGAGTAATAGAGGTTCATGGACTGGAACAAATACGCAACGGGTGTATCTTTTAGATTGAGCAGAAAGCTAGACGTATCGAGTTTGGTTTTGCTGTTAACAAGTAACAACCACTGCAGGGCAGTTCTGTTATCACCCTCGATGGTATCTGTGTCCTTTCCTATTCCAATTGCTATTCCCTTTTCTCATTCTTTCTCTCTCGAGTATTGGTCCTTTGCTGACGGAGTTACCTCTTTCATTGCCCACTTATATCTACTATTATATATTACAATAATATTACACATAATACTATCCATGTATATTAAAATATTTAACAGCCAGCCAAATAGCAGGCTATGATTTTCCAATAGAAAAAGAACCAAGAGAGACGGCATGAGTCTTTGACGTATTTTGAATTCACAAAAATCCAGGCATTACAATCATAATATTAGTCTTACAGATTGGCGAATTCACAGCACAAGCCCAACATTGAGCCTAAGAGAGAGAGCGTAGCCACTGGATGAATGAAATTTTCACCAAGTGTACCGCGATCCAGCCACTATATGCATTTCCTTCACCTAACATGGCTCAATTAGCCCACGGTTCAGGATTTTGATTAATTATTAGAGGATGCTGCAACAACAGTAGCTTTTCTTCTCTTTCTCAGGGCTGACGTTCATCTCGCGTACAATCTCCGCAAACACGTCGTTCACATTCGTGCGATGCTTTGCAGATGCTTCGACGAATGGGCAACCCCAGAGTTGCGCCAGAGCGTTACCCTCGGCGGTATCCACTTCGCGTTGATGCTCGAGATCAAGCTTGTTCGCAACGAGTAATACAGGTACTCTTTCGGTACCTTTAACGCGCGTTATCAATTCCTTCATCGCCTTGATATCTTGGAAAGTTTGATGATTCGTCAGACTATAAACTACGACGAATCCTTGGCCGTTCTTTATGTATAGATCGCGCATACTCGCGAACTGCTCGGTACCGGCGGTATCGAGGATCTCGAGTACACACGGCGAGTTGTCCACTTCGATCTCCTTTCGATAAAAGTCCTCGATCGTCGGATCATACTTCTCCATAAAACATCCCGAAACAAATTGCACAGTAAGTGCACTCTTGCCTACCCCGCCCGAGCCGAGGACGACTACCTTGAACTCGCGCATCTCTTTGGCAGTTCGCCTCCGTCTCCTCCGTCTCCTCCTCCTCCTCGACGTGTCCAGGACCGAGAGGAAGGTTCTCTCTCTCTCGAGTACCTTTTAGCCGATTATCGTTGCACGTTTGTTCTTTCTCGAACACTACAAAAATTGACTGCCGCTATATTAACTCTGTCTTCTTCGTATCGTTGAGACGATCGCGTTAGAACTAGAACGATTCTTATTGCCGGACAAAGGCATTGATGATATTATTAAACGATGAATCGTGCACAAGATTTTACCGTGATCGAAACGTAGCCGTTCTTAAGGTCCGAAGAAGACATGACAGCACCCGTATTCACACTCTCTGTCACACACCGCAGTCCCCTGGCGACGTTCGCCTGGCCTGCCTCCTTCCTGTCTTTCCTCTACCCCTCACTTCTTCCCTAGATCTGACGTGCGTGACGCCATCTTATCACACTTGGATTTTCTTTTCGTACCTCCTGCGCCGAACATCGGACCACTGCCTGAACTGCCTCTATCTGCTTTCAACCTATAACTAGTTTACGTCTACTCAATATATATCTTTCCAAAACTTATCTCGTAAGGGACTGAAAAATTGTGCTTTAAGACCTGTTTCCAAATTTTCCGGCATGGCTCCTTTTTACTTGATCGCACTGTTCTACGATTGGTGAATACCGATCGGGTCGGAAAAGTCGTAACGAATCGGAGCGCTCGATGAGGGGACTGACTGTTCGCTCTTTCTTTGTGTATAATCGTACACCCGAGGAAAATAGTAAGAGAGGAATCACGGAAACTCCCTTTACCGGATGCAAGTGTCATTCTCTTATCTTCCAGACAGCACTATCCACGATCTCAAAAGCCACGAACTCCCAAGCATTCATCAGTGAGTTTTATTAATATCACAAATCATTCTGTAAAATTTTGTTTTTTGTTTATTTTTGGTTTCCAATAAATTTTATAATAACAAAATTTTTTGTTCTAAGATGAGAATTGGAATAATCATTATTTATATTAACTTATAATCATAGTTATTATAGTAATACATATATATGTAATAAATTGAAAAGCAATCAAAGTTGTATTAAACGTACATATTTGTAAGCAAAGATTGTACTAAGTTTTAATCCCCGTTACAATAAACGCAAATAACAACAGTAATAATAATTTGTATTAGCATAAATTTGATTGTTTATTAAAAGTCATCGGAATTGCACACTTCTTTTTTTAGTGGTTAAATAAAGGTACAACGTTATACCGGGTTTGTTAAATGATTCATAGAACACGAACCACTTTTCGTTGATGGTATTTGCAATTTTAATTGCTTTTTTCGCAAAGTCAATCGTATTGCGTCATTGAGCAATAGAAAAATAAGCGTTGTCTATTCGTTTATACAGAGTTTCTCACTTACATGAAAACACCGCATAAATACGATATTCCTAAAATAGATCAATAAAAAAAACATCTAAAGAGATGTGCGTGACAAGAAAATTCGATTTCTATTGAGCTTGTTGCTTTGTATGTTTTTATTGAATATTTCCCTTTCTTTTGCATAGTGTTGAAAAAAAAGAAAGATAGGGTTAGGGAGGGAGAAACAGGGAGAACAAGAAAAAGAAAGAGATAACGAGAAACTACAAGTAAGTTCATATTTCGTTTTTCATCGTTAAAGGGCGTAGCTAATACTTTTCTGAAAAACCGGAAGCGCATGTTGCTACCGTATCTTGCGGTTTACAGAGACCTCCCGTTTCTTTTGTACTGGTGTATCCCCATGTAGATATACGTCATTCCTATAGTCAAGCACTAACGACCTTGTGGTATGCGAACGCAGACACATGTGAGACACGATGACATCATCCGATGAAAGTGTACATAACTGAACAATGCATCACTTTACGTAGTATTTGGTGACGAATGGTGATAATTAGTTACTAAAGGTTAATACTCATTAATCTTTTGAAAAGTCCCATCCTTCTGCGTATTAGAAGAATTATAGTTTAGTTAATTTTTATCTTCAGTAGAAGAATTTTCATTTCTTTTTTTTTAGGAATTATTTAATATCTAAATAAAAATAATATAATAATTTGATAAAAATAATTATACTGCAGTCATATTTTAATAATTTCAAATATATCATAGGTAGGTTTTATTTGCAAAATAATAAATTATACTTTATTAGAAATCTGTACAAATATATAATAACACATGTTACACATTTTTATACAATATAAACATGTTACGAATGTCGGTGCTTGGTAATATAATAAATAAACAGAATGTAAGCTAGAATTGATAATTGTACGAGCAAGTAAATGATTTATTTGGAAATATCATCGAATCAGCTATCGTTGAATATACAGAACAATGCACATGGTTCTTGAAACGCACGTGCACTTATCGCCACGCTTATCGATGATTTTCAGTGTCATTAATTGGAGCATCACCGAAATGTGGTTCGCTCCGATCGTGTAACGCTAATTCGTATAATTTGTCGTTCGTTCACCGTGAAAAGCGTAATCAGTGCGTGTTACGAGCGCGCGCATTGAAAAAAGATCGTACGAACGAAAAGTTATCGAGGTTGTTCGTAACAAACGAGGAAACCGTCGATTAGGTCTCATGAAATCTAATTCAAGGCTATTAAAAAGTAGCGCATTCAATGAGGTTGAAACTAGATTAAGGTGTTATTTTTCTTTTCAATTCGCACTACACTTTCCTGCCTATTTTGCTGCATGTTTATTTTACCAACTATTTTTTCCTTTTCTTTTTCTTTTTTAAATTATATCGTGTTACATTATAATTTAATAAGACACAAGAACTCACAAGAATTTTAATTTATCCCATATTAAATATATTATAACCGTAAAAATGTATGTACATAACCTAAATAGAGCGAATAAAAGTGGAAATATAGAGTCCTTAGAAAAATATACAGTGTGTTTTATATATAACGATAGATAGCGGATGTTTGTACGATTTTATATTTTTATAAACCTGGTTAAAGAAATAGAGTCTATATGAAAATTTGTTTTGTCCATTGAATGTCATAATATATATGTCGGAGACAGGTTAGAATTTTTGGGCGTTCGATGAACCTTTACTTGCTTTACCGTCGCGGATGTAGCTAATATTTATCGGTACAAATGTGGACACTATAAGAGGCTATGAGTAATGGCGATAGGATGGTCGAGATGATGGTGATAACGAATTCAGGTTCGATAACGAATCCACGGTCCACGGGATGATGAATACCAACTCAATCAGCAATTCGTCCAACGACTAACTAACTCACTCACTTACTAACTCACTCACTCACTAACTAACTAACTAACTAACTAACTAATGAACTAACTAATTAACTAACTAATTATCTAACTAATTAATTAACTCGTAATCCAAATGAAACTGCCCTTACATATTCCTGTCCTCACTTCTCGGGTCAATCTTTGTTTTTAATCCCTCCCGTCCCTCCCGTGACCGTGGCTATGTCTAGTGACCCACTATATCACTTCGAGCCCGAACCCATCATCATAAAGCCAGATTAGAACATTAGAACTATTTCTTATTTTTATTACTCAGGTGTAGCTATAGTAAAAGTCTGTACTGGGGTATTGGGGATTTTCCGAACATTTCGGATAGGAAATCCCGATGTTTTTTCATCTCCAACATATATGTCGCTTCCTTCGGACAAAATGAGTACCAGCTATTGATGCATCTACCTACCTGCAGACCTGCAAAAACCTAGGTTTTTGTTAATTAAAGTTCTTCAAACGGACAGACAGTCTTTGTCCCAAATTAACCAATTGACAGCAACGTCAATTTCCCTTACTTCCTGAACGAGGGCTATACTCGACGAATCCGATGATCTCGTGTCCTTAGACACACCCCATCACTGTTTTCCTCTGTGTCATCATTGGAACGAAGGGTCATTTCTTCTTGCGATCTCATCGACGAAGAGACTAGCGCCTTACGATCTGTGAGTATTACACGTTTGAGTTAGATTTTGTGAGCAAGTATATCTATCATTCCGTTGACCGCGGATTCGTTATCGAGCATAAGACCAATGTCACTAGTGTCGCGAGCGCCCAACCGCCGCGGTTGATTGTCGAGTCGGTAATATCCATACTTGTGTTAACAAACCGTACCTTTGTTATACCACAACGATGGCCAATTCCAACGAAGATTTATCAAACGCCCACAACCTTATTCCTGACGCTTCTCCGACATATATTCTACTTTGGATGTCTTCCACATTCTTGTATATATTATATGTATTTTGTAGATTTTTGGAAATTTACAGAAATCTTGAAAATTAAATTTCCCAAAAATGCAAACATCCGCAGTCTAGTAATGAAGTTACAAAATATAATCTTGGAAATTGTTAAAGCCAATAACAAATTTTTTTTTTTTGCGTAATCGTTCTACGATTTATTGGAATCTTTCATAGGATACTCTTAAGGATGTTTTTGAACTGAGACACCAAAAAAGAATTTTGCTGTTACCCTTAATAATTCTTGAGATAACTATAAATCAGTATGCAAAACAATGAAAACGTGATGAATAATGTTTAATTGATGTATGGATAATGATAATGAAAAGATAAAAACAAATGCTACTATCATGCAACTATATGCTAATTGAATTTGTAATAGTATAGTTTATACTATGATTGAATTGGAATCTGACCAGCAATATCCGTGTAATTTATCGATCATAGACATATCGAGAGACAAAGGATTGTTATCAATGAAAGAATGGAAATTTATCGACTATAGTTCATACAGTTCATATCCTCCCATAAGTTACAACGACCTTTACGAGCGGACAATGACCTGACAATTTCAATAACATAAACAGTATTATACGATTAGAGTTTCGTCACCGCACGATCTTTTTCGTAACTATACTCAGTGCAACCGCTCTGTTGATAAGAAAGGTCGTTATACGAACAGCATTACCGACTAGGGGATATACACAAACATAACCTAGATACCGAAACAAAAAGTAAACAAAGCGAAGAGAAATGCTTTGATTGTTACCTTCTTACATAGAATTATATCACTTAATGTTTGTATAATACATACAGTAAGTTCTTCACAAAATACACATGCACATGCGTATTTTTGTATGCATGTAATAAAATTACTTACATACTAAGAATACCATATACATACATATGTTACTAAATTTTAAAAGAATTCGAATTGTATGTTTGCAGCTTCTTTACTAAAATGATAAAATTAGATATTGAGCTTGATTTTTGATTTAATTGATTTTAATTTTAATTTTAATTGATTTTTGATTAAGATTGATTTTTAATCATGATTTTCTTTTTAGTTTCAGGAAAGATAGGAGTTTAAGAAGTTTTATCTTGTCGTGGATTTTAAGAAAGTAATTTATTTAAACAAAAAAATGCCGATTTTTGCTACTGCACCATTACCTGATGCATTTTCAATACCTCAACCTGGAATCCCACAACCCGGGATAGTACCTGGGATACCACAACCCGGGATGACATCTGGGATACCACAACCCGGGATGACATCTGGGATACCACAATCCGGGATGACATCTGGGATACCACAACCCGGGATGGCACCTGAGATGCCACAACCCGGGACGGCACCTGGGATATCACAACCCGGGATGGCATCTGGGATACCACAACCTGGGATGGCACCTGGGATACCACAACCCGGGATGGCA